CAAAAAGGGACGCTCCTACAGTGTAATGATGTGGCAACATGATATGTCAACCCCATTGAACATACCAAGAGCAGTTACACAAATGAAAACATAACGAATTGTGTGAATTGAAGCAACGGGGGCGTGGGTTTTAAGCAATACTAAAATGAGTGATGTCTAAGTAATCTCCATTCACAACAGTGTCACGCGTCTACCTATGCATTGACACATATCTGTCTACCTCTCCATGTCTCCATACATACCCACTGATGTTTGTGTATGTTTATGCGCCTGTAAACCCCCCTTCTGGCAGCCTTTACATTAGTAGAAAATTCCACGTGAAATAAAAGCGTATATTCTCGGCTACGCACATAATTAAATCCTTTCAACATAGCGGAGCAAGGGAAAAAAAAAATGCTTGGGATTTTCCTTCAAAGGGGAAATTAAAACTTGTGCCCGAATCGGAAGGCAATTTAAATATTTACAAATGTGGACTTCTAATGGTAACAAATGTTTTATTATTATTATTATTATTTTTTTTTTTTGTCTTTTCTTGCTCCATTTGTCAGAGTTGATCGTTTCCAACTTTTACTAACCCGTGCACACCAATATATGCATTGCTTTAAATTTCTTCGAACATTTATGTGAAGTTCCATTTTTTTTTTTTTTTTTTTGTAAAAGGAAAATGCATAAAACAGCACAACCTGATTTACTTGCACACATTGATGCCACTTTTTGCCTTCGGCGTGTTGTTTTTTACATATATGCAATATTTTTTCCCATTTCATTCTTTCATTTGTAGTTGTCATGCGCCACCAATTTTACAATATCACTTTCAGAAGCGCACATGTATAAAAAATGGCCACGTGTAGCCTACCAAATTTAGCATGTTTCTACAAAAAGGAATTTAGGAAGGTACTTCCAAGTGGAGTTTTACCTCCGCAAAGAGTTGTGCCTATGTATATGCATAAGTGCACATGCTAAAAAGTGACACCCACTTTTTTTTCACGCATTTTGACGGCAAAATATAGGCCTACATATGCATCACGATATATACCGCGCACTGTTATTTTTCGCCACTTCTCTGCAATTCACTACGCTGTCATGCATTCCGCCATTGCCCCCACTTAAATTCTGTTTATTCCACATTTTTATGCGCAAATCTACGCCTTTTTTTTTTTTTTTTTTTTTTTTTTTTACTTTCCTTCCGATTCCTTGTCTTTACTATTTTGTTCGTTTAAAACTATTAATTAGGGTTCGTTCTCCCAGTAAACCTGCATAAGAACTTTATGGGCCATTTGGTACAACAAGGATTATCGTCTTTTTTTTTTTTTTTTTTTT